ATTCTAATCCATCTTCAGCCAGGGAGACTCAGTCATACATTCTCAATCCAACTACCTCCCAGTGTTACCACTGTTAGGAAAAACCCAAGGAAGGTGTACTACATATGCAACCTTGAGCCCCTGCATGAAAGAAGGAATATAAATCTAATACATCAATAAAATCTTAAGTTTCAGTGCAAGATCTTCAGGGCTTTCTCACCAACGAGAGCACCCAAAGGGCCTGTTTTGGTTTGGCCCTAATTTAAGCACAAATTTAAAACTTGATTTTCAGTATTTTGAATATAATGGGTTTTCTGCTTTCCTAAAATGTAATTTCTTCTATTCCATGTGTGTTTGCAGAAAGACAAGGAATATATGTGCAAAAGTACCTGCATGTGATAACACATCCAGCTAAACTGAGAAAACATCTTAATATAGAAATGTGAAACAGTGTGTGTGTATACACACACATACACACAATTAAAATAAGACACTGCCCAATAAAAGGGAAGGACAACATGTTTTGACATTGTTTGCCTAAAATAGTGTTTCTAATATTCTGCAGTGATAAATGTTAGATTATGTTGATTGCAATTTTAAGGAAATAAAATTACAAGGTCCAACTCTACTCAGCCTTTCAAGATCACTTGAATGAACAAAGAAACATTATTCTGATTGCCAGCCACTAAAAACACCCATCACTAAGAGAGGACTGTTAGCCTCACATCTTGCTTGTGACCTTCCAGAGATGGAGTACTGTGGGCAACAAAATGTGGTCTACATAGTCCTTTGATCTGACCCAGGAGGTTGTTTAAGCTCTCAAATGAAGGACCTCTATTTCAGTGAGATTCTTCAACATGTGACTCAAGTTTCCAAATCTTCAACTGATGACCAAAGTTTTGAATTAGTGGAATGAAAATGCACAGCACTCAAACTAAGATAAACAGTCTCATTCTGATAACCATATATACTGCTATCATCCATCCCATTCTAATCTTTCTAACAGTTGGTTTTGGGTGGCCTATGTCTAAACCGAAGCATGTGTTTCAG